AGAGAGAGAGAGAGAGAGAGAGAGAGAGCGGTGCAAGACGCGTCCTGAAGCTTTGTACTTTCCGCCCATCTCATCGAGAATTCCTGTTGGAATCGCACTGCCTGCGCCTCTGCCGCCGCGGTCGATCCCTTATCTCCGCGCGCGCGCGCGTGTGTGTGTGTGAATGCACGTACACATGTACGCACGAATGTACGAGGCGCATCGCCCGTGTGGGCGCACGATACAGGTGTGTGTACGGGCGTGTATGTACATATATACATGCATACGTACCCACGCGTGCGTGAATACGCGTCGACGAGGCGACCGACCGCGGCGCGACCGAAATTTTCTGCAGTCCGCGTTAAAGACCGCTGTCGCTCCGCCACGAGCAAAACCATAGATGAAATTCGGCTGGACGGAAGTGTAAATGAAGAGAGGGCAGTGGGGCCGGCAAAAGGGGAAGTTATCGAAGGCAGAAAGAGAGATACAGAGAATGTGAGAGAATCGAATAGGTACGACGAGAAGGGCGTGAAACTTTTTCGAGTTGAGTCGATGAGTCTTCTGGTTTATATTGGAACATGATTCTGACCAAAGATGAAATTGTATGAATAATCGTATGTTGTTATAAAAAAAATTTGTAGATATATTTGTTAATTAAAAGATTTCTCACAAAAACCAAACAAGTCTAAAAAGTTGAATTTTCTGAAAACAAGAAACTTCTCATCTTCAAACCGTTAATTGTATAATGTACATTTATTGTAATATTATAATTTTTCTCTGGTTATATAATAGGTAAAGGAATAAAGTTTCAGGTTTTGATTAATATTTTGAGACCCATTTAAAAAAATAGAAAGCTTTGGATCTTATTTTTATTTCTTGCGAAAATTTTATATTTATTATCAATTTATACAATAATATTTTACATCTTTTTTTATAATGATAAAGGTAAAAAAAATATTTAAAATATAAAGCAATAATTTTTTTACTTTTTATTTACATAATTTTAAATTACTTTTAAAAACATCCTTTGCAAATGTTAAACTTGTATATTTCCTACTTTTTTGTTCTTATCAAAACAAAATAATTCACGATGTGACTCTACTAATAGAGAACGATTTAGCATTATAATCCAGATTTAAAGAATTGATTAATTTGATTTTTGTGGAAAACTTTTCAGTTGTAATTAATGCGCAAAATGCGCAATAAATGATATCCAAATACATCTACTACAGTTTTGCACGAGAGAGCATGTCGATATCGATGACGAGTGACAAGTATATTATTAACGTTAAAACGTTTAACGAATGAAGGAAACGAGATTTTTATCAGTGATGTCCTATCGAAAGAATGACGATACCTCAAGGGTCTCGGCTGAGAATCGATCGAATTATTTCACGCCCGTCTGAAACGAATGAATTTTAGGCAGCTGCCGGCGATTCTCACCAGTCGTCCGAAGCGTGGTGTAATTTTAGACGTAAAAGTCCGCGAAGAAACGTGCGCAATTTTCACGGACATTCCTCGTCGGGGAATCCCTCGTGGAATTTCACCGTGGATTTTCACCAAATCTTCAATTCTCGCGGATCATATCTGTTTAAAGTTATCACACGCAAAGAAATTTTACGCTGAATTCAGTCATTACACTGAAATAACTAAATTAGGGCACATTAAGGCGAAAGCCTCGTGTAAACTGCTAAAAGGAAGATAACTTTACAGAATTTTTCTGAAAAACAACATGCACCGGATCTTTTACATATACTCGCCAGAGTTGTGAGATGGTGGAAGTTACAGCTCCTTTTGTACTCGTCTGAAGCAAAAATACAAAATAATTTCTTATTTTTTATGAAATTACCTTGTCGAAACCAAGAAAATAAGAAAAAGATTGAAAATTGAGAAAATGGCAGTATTTAAAAAAAATTACTACAAACGGTCGAAGAGATCTATGTGCAAGAAATGGACTGAGGTTCTAGAGGATCCTAACAATTTAGTCATAGTGTAAATAGCACTTACACATAGACGATTTACGTGTCATTGACACATCACTATATACTACTACATAATACTACTACTAACATCAATATCTCACGCATACATACACATAAATTTTCGCATAACAACAACATTTTAATTAGATGTCTAATTGTAAATACAATTTTAAGAACTCCACATTGTTTTTTCGTGCAAACTACTAGTCTGTGGACTCCTATTTCGTAAATATAGATTGTATAGCTTTCATATGAAGCAAATATTGTCACAATATGGCTGTGTTCCAAATTTACTGCCAGCACTGAAAATACTACAGTTTACGTTACGTGCACTATAGATTTTCAGTATTGGCAGTCAATTTTGGAACACAGCCCATGACAGCTAGCTCTGGAGCGCCATATTGGACTAAGAAATGGTAAAGATCTCAATTTCGAAATTTTGTTGTCGTTCTTAGCATAGACTCTATGTCACAGACACGTATTAATGCGTAAAGTATATGCTTCCTAGAAAAGGATTTTCGAATCAGTAAAAGAGGAAAAAAGTAATCGTTATACATAAATTATATTATGGTTTAGTCGGTAATACAGACGACTTTAGGATCTCCTTAAAAGAGTCCCGAAGGTAATTGAGGAGCGTTGACATTATCGACAATTGATATAAATTTACGATTATTGATATAAATATTTAAATCGTGAGGGATAGCTTATTATTTATTTACGTGATAATATCTCTTCCTTCCACAGTTTAACAAGTTTATTAAGTTACGCAATACAAGTGAGTCCTCTCCGAAGGACTGTCAGAACAGTTTCTCATTAAAACCAAACAGCGATTGCCGAGTACCGCGGACTCGCAAGGAATTTTGAACTTTATATTCGAATTCAGCACGTCTAAATCTATAAAGATTGACCGATTTTATACATTTCAATCACAAGCAAATTTTAGCCTTAAACTGCCAAGTTCTTTCAAATCTTGCTTACTGGAGGACACGATTCAGGTACATTCAGACACACATGAATAAAGTAGTAAAAACAAAGGACTCCGCACATTTCTTATGGATTTTAGTTCTCGGTCAAATCTTCTCATGTTTTGGGAAATTGTAATTTCAGGTGTCCTAATTAAAAATGTCAATAAAAGAGTGCGACCTCCTAAAATTAACAGTTTTCGAAATATAACTAGTCAAACTTGACTAATTTCCATTATTTCGGACATGTAAGCAATTTATGTAAACAATCTCGGTCCCACATAATCCTACTGACTTGAAAAAAATACCTAGATAGCCCTTATAACATTCAAAATAAGGCTGCCATAGTTGCATTTCGCTTCGCGATCTCAATGGCTAAAAATAATGATAAATGCTATCATTAACAACTTTGAAGGATCGACTTATTCTTTAGGATCCGGCTAATATAATTGAAAAAAATATATTATATGAGAGATGATTTTGTGATCTATACGAGTGACATGTAGAATACCCATGTACTTGTAGAACTGATGTAGAACTTCATTTCGCTGTTATCTCATTACATAGTTATTTATAATTCAGCTTTTTTTCATCTTCTCTAAAAATTCAGCTGCTGTAGCACTATGGCTGCTAGTCTTCAAGCTGTAGTTTCAAGTCTGTAGGATCATGTGGGACCGAGATTGTTTATGTTGTCCAATATCCATCAGAATCAGGCCAGTTCAGTTGGAGTCGCCAAAAAATTTGAAAATATTTTGATAAAGTATAACAGTATTTTCGAGAAGTTCGGTATAGGTATAACGTTATAATTAGACAGGCGTGGTGATTGATGAATACGAATCTGCGGATGCTAAAGCACCCACTGTCCCCGTCCTCGTCCAATCGACGATCGGTCCAACAATCCGGCTCTCATATCTCCCATCTGTCTCTGTACGTTATTGGCACCGGTTGATATGGTGAATTCACCAATGTGAATTCACTATAGTCCTGAGGGAGAAGTGGGAGGAAAAATGCGGAGCGAAAAGGGGAATCACGCGGCGAAATCAGATGGACAGTCATTTCGTACATTATGTTTATATGCGCGTCACAAAATGCAAAAAAAGAATCTTACGGTATAAAGGATATAAAGTAGTGACGAAGAAAGGAAAACAAAATAATGTAGCACTTACACATAGATGATTTACGTGTCATTGACACATCACTACATAGATAAGTATTAACCCAGCAAACATTTTGAACGCAAGATAATATAAAATTTGCAATAAATTCCAGCGGAATAATATGTCAAAACTAGAGCCTACTGTGTCCGCAATAAGATTTCCAATGTAAACTATATTTGAAGAACATATCTTGAAACCAACACACAAATTGAAACCAACACCAGAACAAATTTGATAATAGCAATGTGATGACAGGTTGATGCCAAATGCAGGTTAAATCTGTTGTCTAACGCGCCGACAAAATGGTGCCAAATATATTTTGATGAACAGATAATGTTGCATTCTTTCATAAAAAACGCTGAAACTTTTGTAATAGCAAAATTGCTTAAGATCTGCTGTCAATTTGTTATCAACGCGTTGGACAGACCTACCCGCTTTTCACCATTTCTCTGTCATATACTTTGCCGACAAGATTGTCGCATATTATCAAATATATGACAGAGAAACGGTGAAAAGCGAGTAAGTCTGTTCAACGCTAAAAATTTTTTTATTTGCAGTCATAAACTGTTGTCAACCTTGTCAGTTGCAGAAAAGGTTATAGGGGAACATGATTATTTTAAAATTATTTAAAATAATACGTATTCTTATTTTTTATTTAATGTAAACAATTTAAGTGGATCAAATATCTTTAATTTTCACATCGTGACTATACATCTACAGCACATACTATTAATTCGGGATCCATTTTCGATGTATGTTAAACAATGTTCAGAACGGATACCGAGACTGTCGAGCGAATCGAATGATAACACCGAGTGAGCAGCGAGATTGGGCGCCTTGTGTATCTTTGAATTGAATCATTGAGATCTGCAACGAGATAGGCTCGATCAAAATGAAAGACGAGCGAAGGATTGTAAGTAAATGCTCGAATACCTTGCTTTGCCGCGCATTAGCTTGATACACCTGGTAATGCCGAGCTAATAATCAGCTAATCTGCCCGCGAAGTTTACACTTCGCCGCCCGCCAGCGGTTTAATCGATAAGGCGATTCTCTCAGAAGCATCCCGCGAATGCGAGTCAGTCGTGTGTGAGTTTGAGAATCATTCACCGGGGACGCATCCCAAAATCTAAATCCCCGAATAGTTCGGTACGGTAGAACACAAGTAGAAGGTAGATTGTTCTCAAACTTATCCCCTTCAGATTAACACTTGAATAACTCGTTTCTATTGATGACATTAGTCATCGGCAATAGTTTAACGGTGCACGGAGGTTACACTGATTCAAAGATATTCTTATTGAAAAATAAGACGTTATTTCTTAAAATAACTCTAAACTTTTTTTCTTTATAACATTTTAATGATTAACGACGGCTAAAACTTGTTGATGATTACTCAAGATCATGACCTTGACAATACACAGGGTGGGGCATTTTAATCGCCCCAGAAGAATATCTCAGAAACTAAGAGAGATACAAGAAAAAGTTTTATATGAAAGTTGTAAGTTTTCTTGGAGGAAAGAAGATGGAAATAACGGATTTTGGATAGGAGGCACTACCAAGGTCAGGTCAGGGTCAACATGAATTTTTTAAATGGAACCTCCAATTTTTTATTGCATATTCTTGTAGCACACCTCGAGAGCTTTCCAAAACGCTATAATAAAATATTTTTTCATGAAGTACTTTTTGAGTTATAAGGTTTGCATGTTACAGTACCGCTGGCATTAGCATTACCCAAGGTCCGACCGACGGCTAAAACATCTTGAATGTTGTTCAGGATCATATCCTGGATAACATTTGTCAAGATCAAGGTCATTGCAGGTTGTTCCTTTAATTTTTTAATATCAAGGTCAAGGACATCGGACCGGGATCCCTTGATCGACATTTTTGCCTTTTGTTTTAGTGGACATATGAATATTGCTGCAATATTGCAGTTATGTTTTATGAAATATTGCAATCTTTCAAAGTAATATTGCTACAATATTGCTGTAATATTTAATTTGCATTATGAATGAGGCGATAATATCAGGTCCCAACAACTAAATCAGGCAAACATTGCAGGGTCCTTATCGGAACCTTATTTTAATTTCCAGTCGAGTTGTTTAAAGTATAAATATTAATATATGTGGTATACATATACAAATATTTATTATATCTTCTTAACATAAAACGTGACTGACTACATTATTTCGATGAGTCACGAATTAAGAATACATTAATATTTCGTCGCGAAGGCATTCGCGCTATTTTAGACGCGTTACGACCTTTAAGCACCGCAAAGGTGCTTTCAGACCAAAAACTGGCGTTATTTAGCGAATTTATTACAACAAAGGAACGACCCGCGAGAGCTCCCACATGTTAATTTCAACGATGCGTCTGGTGTCCTTGAATGTCTATAAATATACGTCGTTGGAAATGAAAGAAATTCCAGGTCCACAATGTTGTTGCTTTGTTGTTTGTAAGAACAATTCTTTGTATGGGCGAGGTCGCAGGATACGCACTGCAATTTTTCCACGATTCGTTGCGTTTGAAATCTAGAAATGCCGAAGGTGAACACCAGGGGTCAGGGATCTTATATGCGAAAAATATCGCGTATGGAAATACTACAGTATACGTTACATATATTACATATTTTCGTATGCAATATAAAATTAAGTATAGGCTTTCTGAACTTGCAACCTGCGTTTATCAATTCGTGAAACATATTCGATAACTGTTATGACATTTATGGCAGCTGGCGTGCAATTACATGGAATATCTCTATTTCATAACGGAAAGATGCGAGAAAATACATTGGCGCGCATCCTATAAAACGTCTATAAAATCTAAATGAGGTAAAATATTTAGAGTTGCTTGAGAATATCATCGGATAAGATTTTAAGAGAAGGCGACCAATGTTTTTGCGAAGGTCTCTAGGGTTCCTCGGGACCAATTCCATGGAGGAAAAGAAAAGAAAGCTTATATATGGAAAGGGTAAGTGCATATAACAAGAGATTGGGATCCGGCCTAGCTTCCACCATTGACCCAAGTCCCCTGCTGAGAGGAACCAAGACTGACCAGACTTACCTGGCGACGATTTTTATTACTCGTTGTCTGTTATAGGTCTCGTCATCCGCCTCCACGCAAACTTTTTACGAGTTTTGTACCGAGGATTATTGCTACCTATGATTTTGCACATTAATTCTCACTTTGTTTTTTACTTATAATTCAGTTCTACACATAATTTCAATTATGCCTCAGTGATCGAATTGATAAAGACGCCCGTCACAGAATGTATACAGTAGAAAATATTTTTTGTATTTAATGTACCTGAATCGAATAAGGCCCACCTAATTTATTTTATTTTTAAAAAATTCTATTTATGGAGATATTGAAATAAACTAAATGAGAATCAAATGCTGATATATATTAGACGCGAGCGCTCTGAGCCGCTAAATATTGTATTTATTGTTTTGATAGGCGACCTACATTAAATTCGCCGCTCCACCACTGTGGATAGACAAGATATTAAATTTATAGGACATGTATTCACTTCCTGCCAAACAAGCGACGTGTATAGACATTCTTTTCCCGAAAGCGTCCCGTATTGTGAATCGAAATTTAATAAATCTAATTGTTCTTGTATGTGCACAATTGTCAATTTCTTAAACAAAATCTGTTATGCGAGCCAGAGATAAAGCTAGAAAAATCTGGAAGAAATGGAGGACGGAGGCTTGTTATGCTAGGTTCAAGACTTTGAGAAATCGGATGTAATAAAAACTATAATCATTTATATCAATATATAAATAATCGAAGAAATAAAAACTTCGTTCAAAAATACTTCATTCAACGTTCAAAAAAACTTCATCCAAAAATAAAAAGCGAATCACGGATCGATATTACTCTTTTTCCATTGTATCGAAACACGCTCACTACGAATTGCTGTCAAATCAAAACTATCGCATAAATCACTCTGAAATTTTGTATGGCGTCGTTTGAAAGATGGTAGTACACGATGGTAATGCCAACTTGTGTCAGCAACACAGCCTGTCTTCAAACACAAGTACTTATTAATTTGCCATCGTAAGACTTCGTAATCATCTCTTTGCTTTACCGAGATCACAGATCCAGTCCCGAGTTATAAGGATTAAATTTCTTGACTTGAAATTTGGACCGATGTTCGCACTATTCGCTGGAAATAGACGTTACAGCATCCTTTCGGGACGTTGACCCACATTTCGGAGCAATAAAAAGTGCGTTTGACTCGTGGCATTCGCCTCTGTGCTTATATCTGCGAGACAGAGTCCGTCTAAACATTCTTCCATACCCTCCCCTTACTCATCCTTCGTCTCTCCAATCGATTTCAAAATTAATTTCCGAGAGTTTAGACGTAACAGTACAATAAAATGTATTGAGAATTTTACGATTGAACCTGTTTTTATATTTATATTGAACATACATATTTATGTCAATTTGTGTACCGGCTTTAACATACACTCAGTGCAGCCAAAGAGAAACACTATCAGTGTATTGATTGTGTAAAAAGTATTTTGGTTATATCAACAAAAAGCACAAACAAAATACATTCTAATCATATCAATCAGAATTCTAATCGTCATGTTTGAATCTCTGAATATCTCAACTAGAATGTTTAATTTCTGGTTGAATCTATCAGATTTCCAATTTATGCAACCAAATTTTTTCGGTGTAGTAATCCAACGATATTGATAACCAATTTGCGTGTTTTATTATTGCATCCCCATGTACTATTGTAGTAACTAGTAACAGTATTAACGTCCGAATGTCTTAGCACCTATCTTCTGCGCAGCCGGTGCAGACAAACGTGTAGAGTCTGTGCTGCAGCAGAGACGTCGTGCGCGCGATAAAGAGAAACGTGCACGGCGAATCGATACTGATATGACACGTTGCGGTAGATTTTCAAGAGGACATAGGCAGATAAAGCAAAGAATGAAAACACCAACAGGCTGTACACGTGCAAGTAATATCACAGACTAAAAGTCGCTTTGGTCTTTAGTTATGTTTTCGATAATGCCGAATGAAAGCTAATATAAGTTACAATCATGCAGTCTTAAGGCGTATGTTACTTTTCACGAAAGAAGAAGAAAAGAGAAAGAAGCATCAAATAACTTTGCTGTCAGAATTCTATTACAAAAGTACGATGTAATTAACTCTTAAGAAATAACAAAAATTAAAAAATAGTGAGGAATGGGCTAATAAGCGCTGTAAACGTTGCGCAAATTCTATGTGTGTACAATTTCTTTATTTACTTGAACGTTTCGACTTTCGTTCGAGTCATCTTCAACAAAAATCCGTAGTTGAAATTACAAAATTTCGTTGAATCCTTAGCGAGAGAACCCTATCGGTCATCACATAAGTCACATCGTTACACATGGTTGATTAGTCAAGTGGAAGTAATAACGAACGAGATTGGCTTTTGTCATTTCTCACCAAGGAATTAACGAAAAACTTAAAAACGAAAGTAAAATAGGAATCCACAGTACATATTGTAAGTATTAAAAATCATTGTATCAAAAATTGTGTCAAAAATACCGTCCTTACGCACCAAGAGTCATTTAAAGTGCAATTTTAAGTGCAATCATAATATTGCGAAATAATTAAATTATAAATATCATCGACTACATACATGAGAGAAAAAGCAGCTATGTAACTGTTGTAAAATTTTTTTATATGATTTTAGTTCATATATTTAAATCTATTAAGAAACTGAGAAAAGATCATCGATAATTCTTTACTTAGATTCTTCAATAGTTTCATTGAAGCAGCGATTTTCCGATAAAACCGGCTTTTTCATTATATTATAGCATAACATCCTTTTATTATGTTCGATATAACATTAAAAGATTTCAAAAGCAGTTTTTTTTTACTATTATAATTAAAATAATTTTCACAATGAATTATGGTACACTCTCTGGATAACAAAATTAATAAAGAGGAACTTAAAGAATTGAAATTAGGAAAGATATTAAAAGAAGATAAAACTTTCTTTCCAGCAACGAAACATGTATACTACCTTAGACCAATCATGCACAACGAGTCATTGAAAGATAAGAAGAGTAAAAATTTCATTGCGATTAACAATGTCGAAAAATCACCTCATGCCCATTTTTACCAATGTAGATTGACTTCTAATTCTTAGAATTAGAAAAAGGTGAAGAGTTAGTTGAACCAAGGTTAAAATTTAATTACATTATTGATAGAAACGGGCATCAATGGACTATGTATGATAAATATATGCAGAAAAATAGTGCTTGTTGAAAAGAAAGAAGCTGAAAAAAGAGAGTTGTGATGAAATCCTCGAAGACTGGCTTTAACATACATATTATTTGATAAGTTTTATGCGAAGGAAAATTTTTGCCTCCTCCCTCTGACTAAAATCTTGCGCTCTGACTAAAATTCTGCGAACGCCCATGTATACGTGTGTGTATGAAATAAGAGCTACAACCGAGAGAAGAGTATCCAAAATTGAAAATATCGGTTCTCTTATATGAGCGAACTGAACAAACAGATGGTCATTTTGCGCCAAATTCCATTCGCAAAATAACGATTATGTGATTCGCGTAAACTGCAGTTTGAACACGTTATAAAGCGGTATGTCGAGGCTGCAACGCATGTTGCATGGAAATGGGGAAGAAGGCGACAGAGACATTATTCACACTCGGGCCACTCGGGGAAGGATTTCGCTCGGAAGGAACCCGGAACATGAAAGGAGAGATATATACGAGAAAACGAAATACGTAAGCGAATGTGATTACTGTAGAACTTAAAGATGATATACACGATAGAAAATACAATTTACACAGCTTGAGAGAGAAGGCTGATTACCAAAGGATTTAATTCCTTGACAAACGATACCGAACGATTACCAGAATTGCTTCGATTAATTCTGCCTGTAAAATTAGCTCAACAATTTGTAAAACACAATATCAATTAAAAATATATTTATTATTCGACGTGATAAATATTCAGTTTAGGCCGGATTAATTTATCTACAACAATCACACATTTTTGTCCAATTAACATTCAACACAATTACAAGACAATCATTCAAACAATAACGATCATACAAAAGGCAATCCATGACGCAGTAATAAAGTTTACAATTAAATCATTAAAAAAGAAAAATGAGAAAAAGAAAAAGGAAAATCAGAACTAAAACAAAAGGACAAAATCTGATAATCGGAAAATAATGGAAAAGAGCAAAAGAGAGAAAGATGAAAAAGAAGAGAAGAGAGAGAGAGAGAGAGGGGGAGAGGGGGAGAGCAAGAGAGAAAGGAGGGAGAGAGAGAGCGAGGGTACGATTGCGGGGATGATGACCTTAGAGGAGGGAGATTGGTCGTAGGAAGAGGAAAAAACGAAACGTTGGCAATGCGGCAATACGCAAGCGGCGCACAGCACGGCACGGCGCGGAATCGCCGAAAATGCAATGCGCCGTACTGGAGTGGCGACGTCGACGTCGGGCGTGGCGGATAACTGACCTCGCCTCGTCTGGCTCAGCCACCCCTGACACCCCCGTCGACGACCGTCAGAGTTTCCCCTTCCGTCACGTCCCTCACTGTTCAGTACCACGACGTCGCGCCAGTCAGGGACGGCGTGACCGCATGCACCGCCCGGCTCCAACTGTTTGTAGAATACGCCTTTCGTCTTTATTTATTATTTGCCATTGCTGCCGTCGCCGTCGTCGCTGCTGCATTGCATTTCACGTTTATGATATTTCGCCGCTCAAAGCGCGGAACTGCCGCAGGCAGCACATAAAACACTGACGTAAACAATGTTTAGTTTTGAATAAAGAGAAATAGGTTGTGTATACGCCGGCTAATTGACGGCTTGCGAAAAACTTATGGAAGGAATACTTTTAAACAGTGAAAATGATTTTTTCCTATTTTCGTTTGGAAAAGATCGCGAGTGTAAAGGAGTTATAGAATCACTCAAAAGTATTTGCTTACTTTATCTTCCTTAATTAAAAGAAAAATAAATTTCAATCTTCTTTGTTTATCTTTCAAATGTTAAACTAAGTAATATAATGTTCGATTCAAAATGTTACATTCTACAATATTTTCTAAAGAGAATGTAAGAGAATTAGAACGCTATTTTATATCGTATATGTATAAGAAAGATATACAAATTGTAATGGGCAAATACTTTTGAGCGATAGTATTTTTTATTTATATTAAAATTGTGTGTGATAATCCAGACGATGTCAAGCAATATTTTTTGCTTTTATTTTATTCTAAAACATTACTTTCTTAAGATACGATTTTCTCGTCTATTTACTCTATTCTGTCCATATTTTCTTTGCGTAATAACTTTAATCGCGTTTTTTATATATATGTATACATTACATACATATATGTTTACATATGTATGTATACAATATATTATACGTATATGTGACGGCCTTGATAATCTGCAAAATGAAATTATATACTTGCTCTCTCGAATTGCGATTGATATTGATTGAATGCGTTGGATTTCTAATAATTTCCATTTAATTAATCCTCTCCCAATGGCCTGCTGATCAATTTCCCTAGTTACTAAATATTATGAACCAACGAAAATTTTTTTTCTGCAGTTTCATTTAATTAGCTGCAAATAAAAAAATTACAGTGATTCCCTCACCTTGGCACGGGGAAAAGGAAAAGAGAAGAGCGTGACGGTGTATCTCTTGCCAATCTATTTTTTCATCTTAGTGTCGCAATAACCGTAGTTAAAACCGCGAATAGCGAATCTCCGCTCACCCAGTTCATCCTCGTAAATCCGGCTGGAGACCGGTTCGCTGCAGTATTGGGCGAGCAATTTGGTTACAACGCCATCGACGAAATAAAAGCGAAATAAAAAAAAGTTGAAACGACGCAACGACGACGACGACGACGAGGACCATCGATTATTCCCGCCGAAAAAAACAATTTGCTCATAGTAGTAGTCGGCGGCTCCGAAATCATTTTAGCGAATATTCATTTTTTCCTCGCATGCACCCTCTGGCGGCCCGACCCTGCCGGATCAGCATCCACCACCTCTTTGCACCCCCGTCCTTGCACGAAGCCGACGTAGCGTTGCACTTGCCCCCACCGCTGTGCAATCTATCAGCGCAACCCTCATTGTGTGCGCTCGTCGGGGGCCGCGTGAGGGGTATCGCCCCTCCAATGCCCTTCGTTCCCACTCTACGTTGCCATCCCTTCCTGCGGCCCTTCTATCCCTTTCGTCCTCCCCGTCTAGCAAGCGCGTGATCTCCCGCGCACCCCAACCGATCGGCAAAAGGTAGTCTAGCCGTCTGGTTGCTCAGCAACACGGTACTGCCTGCCTGCTGGCATCGATGCGAGAGAGTGTAGGTACCTATATCCATCCAGCCAGCCAGTTAGCGGTGATCTGGAACCGTGTCACAATTGCGTAAATTCCGAAAAGTCTTCAAAGAAATAGTCTTGCGCGAAGAGGACACTGTATAACCTTCACGCAACGGCAATATTTCTTTCGTTGTTTGTTACTCTATGACCTGTATATTAAATGAAATATTTCATTATTAATTGATTAATTTCCTTGATTCTTTATCACATAGAAAATTACACATAAGCGATATCTGAGAATTCTTCCACTAAAATCGATTGCTTTTATCTTTTTCGTATTGTGGTAACGATACGAAATGTATCGACACGTTGAACAAATGTATCCAGGAACCGGATTTGATCTAGTTTCCTGAATACGAACAATGAAAGTCAAAGTATGGTATTCTAGGATACGGTGCCATCTAAATTTAACAATTCGAATTTTGCCTGTTAATTACATGTCATGAAACTATCTTCGGCGCGAAACTGTTATCTTTAACTCTGTTCCACATATGCTTTAATTAGACCATCATCTTGAGATTGTTGTATGATTCACATATGGTATCTGTAGGAAAGACTAAGTAAAACTACGCCTGCTTTAGCTCGGGCAAGACTTTGAGAGCCTCTCTGTCCTACAGTCAATCAACAGGCTTGAAAAGCTTTGTCGTACGACACGTGAAATATCGGGCTAATAATAGGCCTGTTCTTTTTGGCTGAACTTTTGCACCAGTTCATCTTTTTTCCTTTCCTCTCCAGGAAAAAAGAAGAGGAAGAAAGATGAACTGGTGCAAAAGTTCAGTCAAAAAGAACAGGCTCAATGTAAGATTCACACTGCGTACGACATTCGACGTGCGACGTCCGATATCCATTAGGAAAGCTTGTTTTCTAGATATTTTAGCTAGCAATATTTTGTCGTACGATGATGCTTGTCGCATGAAAATGTTCGTCAAGATTTAACTTTTTCGTCCGACGACGTACATACATACGACAGACATATCGCAATATGCAACTTACAAAGTGTATGCAGATAAAAATGTCGCCAACTAGAACCGAATTCTCATATTGGTACCATCGTACGTCGGATGTCGTACGCAGTGTGAATCCTACATAATACTCCTACATCTGCACTCTAACAATGCAGAACTGCTTTCAACGACTCGTCTCGAAAAAGTTCCACATTATTCGGTAACTCGAATCTCGAAACTCAAAATCGACATTCTCAAGATGGCTGCCAATTCGAATCAATAGCATCAAAAGTATCGATATATCGATACGTACGAAAAGTATCGATATGTCGAAATTATCAAAACAAAAGTATTGATGAAAAATATCGGATATCGAAATAATAAAAAATATCGATTCTGAAAATATCGATAAAGTATCATGCCTACTTTCAACTTTCCAGGCATTTGCAAGAATATGGTGACCTTCATGATTTGTCATGTGTTTGTAATATTTGTATATTTGTAAGTACAAATTACTAAGTTTAGATAATAATGATTTAATATCATTATAAAATATTATTATAACACATAAGTTTTAAAATTGATGTGATTATTGAAAATATTGTAACGTAGGCACATTCCTAACCTATAATGTATATGATTTTATAACGCATAAGTAAACAGTTATAGGTAATATTCTTGAAAATAATAATGCCGGGCTGTTGCGTGCCAAATTGCAAAAATTCAGCGGCTAAGGGATTTTTAATGAAACATTTCCCCAAAAATGTGGAAAGAAGGACTCAATGGGCTGTGAATATTCCACGAGCGAATTGGATACCCACAGATTCTAGTTGTATTTGTGAGGTATGGTATTTATATTTACTTAACAACTAACTTCTTAGATCACTATTCATAGTAAAATGTTATATTTATTCAGATTAAGCTATCTTCAGATTCTTTGCAGCCAATGAAATAAACTGCATAGTATATAAAGATACTCTTAACTATTCTTCTAAATATCAGCTTTATACTATGAATATCTTATATCAGAGCTGTCCAAGATCAGGGTTTTTTGGCTCGTTAAAACTTTTTGATCTGTCTTTCATTATGTTTAAAAGTATTCTGTCACTAATATTATAAAATACTGTTATTCATAAGGTATTTAACTATAAAAATATGAATAATAGTATTAATTATAATATTAATAACAGAATACTTTTAAACATAGTGAAAGACACAAGTCAAAAACTTTTAACGATTTCAAACTAGTGTCGTCACTAAAACCGATCATTGCGCGCTACGATAAAACAGCAATGAAGTGAGGAGTAGGAACGGATAATGAACATGATCACCGACACGTTTCAATTTTAGGTCAAAAGACCCCGCCTTTGAACAGCTCTATCTTATATAATATGAAATGAATATTATTCTTTATGTTTAAGATTCATTTTTCACCAGAAATGTGGGAAAAACCTCGAAGTGATGGTAAAAGGATCTTGAAGTGTCATGCAACACCAAATATTTTTGAGCCATGTCTTAAGACAATCATTGCATCCAAACAAAATACTGAATTAATACAATCAGTACAAACTGTCGAGATGAATGAGAACTCAAATCTCTCCAGTAATGACATTATCGCCCAACAAGAAGAATCTATTGAATTTTTTATAGTTCCAGTTACTGAAAATCAACCAAATCTATCTTCATCTAATCATGATGATAAAATAGATTGGAAGAAAAAATACGAAAAGCTCAATGATTTATTTAAGAAACGTGAAAAGATGTATAATACTGTTTTAAGAAAATGTAATTGTTTGAATAATACACTTGTGAAAAGACTGAATACAGAAAAACAAAATCAGCATAAGCAATATGTGAACACAAAATTGTACTCCATAATTACAAAAGTATTCACTAACGATCAAATAAAGGCATTGACAAAGAAATCAACACGTGGTTCAAAGTGGTCCGAAGAAACACTTAAAAAAGCTGTTCGACTGAGAATTACTTGTGGAGCGAATGGATACAAAGAACTTTTGCAACAACATATTCCTTTGCCGTCATTGCGTACTTTACAAGAAAAAATGGCAACACTTCATTTTGAACAGGGAATTTGCAAAGAAATTTTAAATATCTTAAAGGAAAAGTAAATAGTTTTGAAGATAGAGATAAAGACGCTATGATTGCACTAGACGAAATGAGATAATTATAATTATTATTATGATGTTAGAAACTCCAAAGTAACACTTCAAAATAGAACACGTACATTAATTAAATTTGCATACTGAGAAAATATTAAAAAAATCATTTTTAATAATAAATAAATTGAATTTCTAACATAATAATAATTATCATTATAATTATAATAATAAAAATTTGTAAACAGTGAATGTAAGACAATGGCTACGTTTACACCGTGCGCTTAGTCCGCAACCGATAGGTGTCTTTGTTTAATATATAGGCTAAACAAGGACATCTATTGTATAGGCCGCGGCCTAAATGCACGGTGTAAACGTAGCCAATATGTTTAAAAGCCCTATAGCCTTATAGTGCCCTGTATGAGTTATGGCTAATATCATCCCTGAGTTCGAGCGTTTTATGTTTCCGCGCACGGTCTAAATACTACGAAACAAAAGAAGTGGGGATGATGAAGTAAAATCGGTCGAAATGTGCAACTCAACTGCAGGCCTAAAATAAATCTATGACAATGCATGGTATAAAGACAAGGGTATGCTCACGCGCATGCTATATGCACGCAACCAATCAAAATTGTCAAAGTATGACATCACAGATATGACGTCACAGATTGAAGATTGAGATCGAAGATTAAAGATTGAAATTTGACCAATGAGGGCAAAGGAATTTTAGCTCCTATTGTTTTGATTGGTCAAATTTCAATCTTTCAATCTTCAATCTCATCTTTAATGCCTAGTCTGATTCCAGCCTAAGGATGTCGATCTTTAATAGTATCTCGTCGGTAGTATATGCTAGTTTTTCAGGTCGCTGATTTTGAATCTGATGTCAGAATTTCAAAATTCAAATTTCAAATTTCAAAAATCAGATTCGAAATCAACGATACGAAAATCATATGTGATCATAATTTCATCAAAATTCTGGAGTGAATGGATTTTTGGCCACTTATTCGGGTCTCCTGGCCCACTGTGCGATTTCATAAAACTAATGTTACTTATAGTTAATCTGTCAGTCCAGGACCATATATATAAGGGTTTTTCTTCCTCCTTGAAAAGAAATGTCCTTGAAGATCTTTGAAAGAATTTGAAAACTGCCAAGAGAATTACTGTTCGACTTAGAACAATAGCCCAGCAGCCCTAAATCGATACCTGCGCAGTTCGCTTTAAGGTGCTATAACTTCTTCAATTTTATAAATATGACAAATTCCTTGTCACATTTTCAATATGTAGTTTAAGAAGATGAAAAAAATCGATTTTTTCAAACTTTTAGACTAGAATATCCCCTTAAAGTTGATAAAAATAAATATATAAAGAAAAATAAAGACTTTTGTAAGATATACATTTATAAAAGTCATTTTATATTCAAATACAGTATATACATATATATATGTGTATGTGTGTGTGTGCGTGCGTGGTGTGTGTGTGTGTATGTGTAGTTTGCAAACATAGCTATAGATAGTAAGACATAAAAAAATCTTCGTACCTAATATATTTTTCCTAATATATTGGTGTAGTATCGAGATTTCCATAGTAAATTTTGTTATTTCGAGAGGTCATAATCAAAACTTGCTGGAAGATCTTATGAATAATTTTTGAGGAATTTAACAAAGTAAATATACATTAAAATGCATTAGCGATACAGGCGCGCAAAATTTCGTAGAGCATTTGTGACGGTTTTCGGTGTTTCTGACCTAAATATCATAAAAAACAAAAAGTTATAAATCAATCAAGTTCTGTGAATTGCTAAAAAATTCATAATAATCTAAGTAGATATTAAACCAATCATTCATAATTTATAAATAAATATATAAACATTAATTTTTTTGTAAAAAAACTGCTATAAATTTTTCCGATATTTATATTTGCACTGATATAAAGTTGTATATTACGTACCTCGTGACTATACTGTGAAATTCAAGTAGTTGCTCGGGTGTTGCTGTAGGAGCTCCGCCTGCGTTTTGCGATGGCATTGTCTTAATAGCTTCTTCTAACCACTTTGACATGAGCTGGTAGAAAATATGATTTCTCCATGTAAAATACGAAATATATTTGATAAAAACTATAATAAAATACATACATCTGCATCATTTCGGGTAAGTTCTATAATGACATCCGCCACATCAGACAGCATATAAGAAGACAATTCAAACACTGAAGCATGTAGTAACTTTATGACTAATGTTTGGCCTTTTTCTTTCAATATATTTTGTACCAGTTGTCGTCGTATCGTGTAGTCTGATCGATCCTGGAAAAAAAAATAGAATCTATAATTGGAGCTAATCTATGTGAATTATACATTAAAGGGATTTTATTTCAATATTCATTTAAAAGGTTCACAAAGAATTACCTTATAACTGCGGCCGCTATGTAAAAGATCGTAAAAGAATTTCATTACTGAACTATTAGCGTCCCTATGATCCAAACTGCAAGCCATTATAGCACAATCTACAATGCTCCCGATAGCAAGAGAACGTAATAAAGAAATAGGAGCTCTTTGAAGAAACCTTTTGTATAAAAAGAATGAATCAGACAAAATTTCAATAAAAGTGTCAATCGATAGTATTAATCATCACGATACCTGGCACAGAGCCTAAATAGATCATCTACTGTATCAGGATGATTTTTTAAACCATCTTCTTGTTCAAGAATTTCAAAAGTGGGACCGATGAAAGCTTGTAACATATTTAATAGTACACATTCTGAGTCAGTCGCATACTCATCCACCAATATAGAACCAAGATACAAGAAACAACTATGTTTATGTACCGTATACAACAGTACGATCTGTGAAAAAAGAAAACGAGAAGTATGTATTTAATAAGTGCGTTAATAACAGTATAGTTGGGATGTTAGATATCGTATTATAACCTTATTCATTATTTGTTTTACAATCGACTCAAGCAAATGAGTAGAATGTTTGCCCACACAGCGTACCGCAAAACGTATGCATCGGCAACATCTTTCTATGACTCTCACATCTCGTTGATATGTTTCACATACATCAGACAATACAGGCCACATCTATAAATATACATAATGGATGTTATTAACATGTAAAGAATTTCGCTTCTAAATTTTTAACACTCACTTCAGCGACTACGCTTTCACAAGGATGAGGCTTATTAGGATCATTGATTTGAGGATTAGTATGTTTAAATATAACAGCTAATCTATCCAGCCATATCACAGGATCAGTCTTTGTTCCTCTCTCGATTTGATCTCTATTCGTTAGAAGCGTCCATAGGGAACGTGCTTGAAACCAGCACAATTCTTTTATTGCCGGAATAATTTCATCGTATGGTAATTTTGCCAAAATTATCGATACTCCTGCCGTAACAATTAGCGCTTTTCATTCAGTTTACCATAAAATAATTAATCAATATATAATACAATCATGTATAATATATTTCGTAATCGCGTACACCTTGTAACATAGCTTATAAAATTTTATCCTACCTTTTAATAGGCCAATAGCTGCGTCATTACTAATAGCAAAATTGTCAAGAGAAAGTGCTATTTGCAAAAGTCCAGAGAAATGCGTTATCATGTGCGATGGACAAGCTGTACATATACTTAATAATGCGCCCGAAGCAGCACTTCCTAGACCCTTTTGATTTAAACAGTATAAGAGGAAATTTAAAACTTGTTCTGAAATAACACAAAGTATATGTGAATGCCATTGAGATATCCGAACATGACAAGTATTTATCAAAGTGTTACCTAATAATTGCGGATGCTTATCTATCCATTCACATAGCTCGCCTAAGAGGAGAATACTAGTATAGCGTACGGCTATATGAGTGTTTTCCGGCAAATTAAGAATATCTTGTACCACTCTCGGAACCATAGCCTCTTCATCTCTGTTATACGAAAATACTGTTATATTTGTGATCTTTAGATATTTCATAACGAATATAAAAAGAACGTACGGTAGAATGTTTTTTGCCACCGCCTGCATTATAAAAAGTGCGGCTTCGGTCGAGTCCCAAGTAGGTGTATGTACAGGTTGACCCTGCGGACCAGGTCCTCCAGTCAGTGATGAAAACATTTGTTGGAAACAGTTACTACTTCCAACTACAAACACTACATCTTTTATCAAATCCGATACGCGATTTCGGAAGTCAGCGAACTCTTCTCCTCCTCCTCCTTCTTCGACGAGACCCAACTGGTAATCAATACATAATTCTGGTATAATTATCTATTTTATTTCATATAAAATACTATTTAATAAAATTATGATAGCAAATATACTGACATGGTCTGGTTCCATTTGACAATGCCTACAGAGGGCACTGATCAATCTCTCAATACGAGGTCCAAATACGGCATTAAGATCATTGCTATTTTTTTGATAAAGAACTTCTGATAATCGATACCACAGGTTAAAAGTTATCTGTGCAACCTTAGCAAAAGATATTATTCAATCAATGATACTTAATTTATAATTTTTAATATAATAAAATATATCGACATATATATAGGGTGTCCAGTAACTTTTGTGACAACCCTCGTACGCAAGTAAAATGAATTAAACTGAGTCCTGTATCATTTTGCAATTTTCGCAATAGTTAACGAAATATTAATTACTAAAGATCGTTGAATGAGAGCATGTATCCACTGTAACTACTGCCAATTGCATGCCCAGTGGTCATGGTTACTAGGCATGTGGAGAGTTTACTAGAATAGAGTTTTATTCACTTTATATTTATAAGCCAAGGGGACTTGGTTTACAATTTTTCCTTAACTCATTCATTCATCTCCGTACATAACTCTAATTTCCTCTCTCTTAAAAATCTTCTAAACGTGCTCATCATATTCTGTAATGCTTTCCTATTATTAGCCACCAGTACTATATCATCTGCATATGCTAATGACCATACCCTTTCCACACCTATTCCTACATCCTCTATCCTTTTCTTTTCTAAATCGCCATCTAGATTCGCGATATAAAAGTTAAACAGGAGTGGACTCATTACACAACTCTGTCTTACTCCTC